CCCCCCTCCCCCTCCTCTCCTCTCGGCCCCTGAGATGCGGGGTCTACCGAGAGGGAGGGGGCTGATGCGGGCCCGGGGGAGGGGTCGTGCGGCCCCTCCGGGCAGTCGAGGCCGCGGAAGGGGGGGAGCCCATAGAGGAAGAGGTAGGCCCCGGAGCCTACTCTCTCTTCCCAGGGCCCAGGCGTCCTGGGCCCCTCAACTCCCTACCGGGCTAACCAGCCCTCCGGTCCCTTGTCTGCCCTCTCAGGGGGAGGTCCCCGCTGAGATGGGGGCGCTGCTGCTGGAGAAGGAGACCAGAGGAGCCACCGAGAGAGGTGAGTACAGCAGAAACGGGCCCAGTTGGACCTTCACTTCCCCTGCCCGGGAGATCTCAGCCCTGAACTTTTTCTCTTCCTCTACAGTTCATGGCTCTTTGGGGGACACCCCTCGTAGTGAGGAGACCCTGCCCAAGGCCACCCCCGACTCCCTGGAGCCTGCTGGCCCCTCATCTCCAGCCTCTGTCACTGTCACCGTTGGCGATGAGAGGGCTGACACCCCTGTAGGGGCCACACCGCTCATTGGGGATGAACCAGAGATTCTCGAGGGAGACGGGGACCTTCATGGGGGCCGGATCCTGCTGGGTGAGAGGCTGGGGAGTTTGGGGTGTGTGAGGAATCTTTTGACTCCGCCTTCCTTCTTATCTTGGCTTCTGCCTATCTGTTTTCTAGGCCATGCCACAAAGTCATTCCCCTCTTCCCCCAGCAAGGGGGGTGCCTGTCCCAGCCGGGCCAAGATGTCAATGACGGGGGCGGGAAAATCACCCCCATCAGTTCAGAGTTTGGCTATGAGGCTGCTGAGTATGCCGGGGGCTCAGGGAACTGCAGCGACAGGACCTGAACCCCCTCCAGCCACCACCAGCCCTGAGGGGCAGCCCAAGGTCCACCGAGCCCGCAAAACTATGTCCAAACCAGGAAATGGACAGGTGAGAAGGATGGGGGGGGGTTGGTAGAGATTGGGGTAATTAATCATAAACCCCTGTTGGGGTTTTTTTATGATTTAACTTTGGGCTTTTTCTAATCTATTCACATCTTTGCATGTTTAACTGGGGGCTACTGTGTGTCACATGTTGTTGGGCTGAACTTTATCTGTGAACCAACAGACAAATTCCTCTCTTCCTGGAGTTTACTTTCTCGGGGTAGGGGTAAGTGAGAGTAGAAGAGACAGATGTTAAAGACTCCATTATGCAGTAAATGTCTTAAGTACTCTTACGATAATGACTTTGTGAAGGAATTTCAAACCACTCTTCCTTTCTACCTCAAAGCTAGTCCTGGGGAACGTTTTCATTCCTTCCTTGAAACTGCTCTTGCTCCATTTGTAAAGTTTCTGCTGGGAATCCAGATTAGGAAGGAGATGAAGGCCCCAGAAATGACAGGGCAGGGAAGTGACAAAGGCCTCAGAATCCCAGAAGCTTTGTGACCAGGTTTTAGGGCTCTATCGACCTAAAGGAAAAAAACTAAGACAAACTTAATAGAGGTGGAGTTTATTTGGGCCAGGTTTGCATGCCAGGAGCATAGATTCGAGTTGTCCCGAATATACACTCCAATCAGCGGCAGTTGCAAATAGGCTTTTATTTCATTTTTGTTTTTGTTTTTATTTTTGAGTTGGTGTCTAACTCTGTCACCCAAGGCTGGAGTGCCGTCCCATAATCATGACTACTACAGCCTTGACCTACTGAGCTCAGGTGATCTTTCTGCTTCAGCCTTCCAAGTAGCTGAAACTACACATGTGTGCCACCATGCCTAGCTAGTTTTTTTAATTAATGTAGAGTCAAGATCTTGACCAAGCTGCCCTGGCTGGTCTTGAACCCCAGGGCTTGGACAATTCTCTTACCTTGGCCTCCAAAAGTGCTGGGATTACCCTTGCAAATAGATTTTTTTTTTAAATTGGAGTTTCACTCTGTTGCCCAGGCCACTGTACTGCACAGCCACTGCAGCCTCAATCTTCCAAGTAGCTGGAACTACAGGCATGTGCCATCATGCCCAGCTAACTTTTTTTTTTTTTTTTTGAGTCAGAGTCTCACTCTGTCACCCAGACTGGAGTGCAGTGGCACATTCCTGGCCACCGCAGCCTCGACCTGCTGGGCTCCAGCGATCCTTCCTCCTCAGCCTTCCAAGTAGCTGGAACTACAGGC